TTTTTTAACATAATTCGTCTCTGATCCTTCAATTTATTATTAACATAGATTAACCACATAACCAAAACAATATTTTTTTTTCATCAAAACTGTTTCCAGCAACAGTGCACAATGTAAAGCATTCATCTGCGAACAGTTTTGCATCCAAACAGTTCGCCAGACAATAGTAAAAGTTATTATAAAGACACAAATTACAACATGATGTCATCAAATTACACCAACTTACCTTTCCTGCTCTTGATGGTCGGTATTCATCGAGTGTCTCAGGTGCAGAAAAAAAACGGAGAGCGTCTTCAATGGTTCGAATAGCTTCATGAGATATATCAAGATGGAGTAAACGAAATGGTTGAACGGTAGCAGAGGGTTTGTTGCCTGTCCATGAAAAAGTACATTTGTAATTTAAAATCCCAATCAGAATATGTCAAATGTGCATGACATAATGTATCAGGCTCTGATTCAGTTTTTCTCATGTGTTACTGAGCAAACATCACATTGTATAGAAGGTAAGTCAGCCCACTAACCTCTAGCATTCACAACACTTCGCAATTGTCCATCAAAAATGGAATCGAGTTCTGAAGGAACAAAATTCTGAGTTCTTGTCACAGCAGATTTATTCTTTGGGCCAACTGTCTCCCACTCGTCATCTTCTGACGTACAGACCAGAGATGACTTTGTACCATAGGATTGCCCTTCAACCTTTAGCAACTCATCATGCATCTGATCCATGATGAAACTTAAAAACTCTTGTGCATCCTCTTGTCTGCAAAAGGAAGTGTAACAAACACATATTGTTTCATTTTACAAGAAATTGAACTGCAAAAAATAGTAAAATACACATGATAGAGAATATGAAGTTTCATTATTACAATAACTTCGTGATGCATGCAATTGACCTCTCTTACACTACAAGACGTTAATGCAATTCCACTACATGAGCATTCTGCACTTACAGAATTTGCATGCCTTGTTCTTGAAAAAACATATCAGTTATCCCAGTTAAACACACACACACATATATCTACACAATATAGTTGCTTGAGAAGAAATCACCTGGGTCTTCCTGAAACACTACCGAATATATCAGGAGTAAATTTTCTCAAAACCTCTTCAAACATGATAGGGCTGAAAGGCCTGCCAATTTCAAGTTCAGAGACATCTTTCTTCTTTGTAATGGATCCACCAACAGCATCAAATTCAGCAATGAAGTCGACAAGCGCAGCTAGTGTCGGATGGTGAACCTAAAAAAGAAATTAGATATCCATAATGTCATATATAGAGTTTTGAGTGAACAGAACCTACTTGCTGATATTATACCACAAAATGATACTCGTGTGGAACAACAGACCTTTGCAATGTTACGGTTTCGTAGTCCTTGTAACAGCTGAACAAATGGAGAACAAGCCAAAAGAGCCTGCAATGTTGCATTAAGGAAACACAAATTCCCTGAGTTGATCAAGCCTCGAGGTAGCATATCACGAGAATCGAATACAGGAACACCTGTCTTTCCATAAGCTGCTTTAAGAGGTCCTTCAACTCGTAAGTTATTGGGGGTACCATTTGACTTCATGCTCTCATTATCTGGAAATCCTGACCTAGGCTTCCCGCCTATCTCGTTATTATCCACTGATAAATGCAATGCATGAATCTTATTTCTGTTGTATAATTCTTGATTTTCGGGATGACAATGATTAGGATCATGTACTCTTCCATTTTCTGCCACACGAGGAAAATGTTCGGCCTGCGATTTGTCGAGAAAGTCCTTGTCCTGTTGGATGCTCCCTGGATGCGTCTCTCCAGTTAAATTACGAGAACCAACCTTAGGTTCGAATTTTGTATTAAAACGACCGAAAATCAACTCTGGCGTGTGATTTAAAGTGTTGTCTTGCGAGAGTCTGCTTTCATTGGGAATTTGAACACTGGTAGGTGTTTGCTTCTGCCAGGTACGGGTTTCATCTTCCGAGAATGACCCAAAAACCACCAGCTACAGAGAAGGAAATAACCATTTTGAAAAATAGACAGAATATGATAGCAGTTTTACACCCTCCATAAAGAAGGAATGTATTACCCAATAAAAGAAGAAGATACTGAAGTTAATTATGCCCTAACAAGCCTGCTTCACAAGTATTCAATCAAACAAAACATGCGCAGAACAAGGCACTTGAAAAAAGTTCAACTGTTTCAGGTCATACCATCATGCATATTCATTAAGTTGGCTAACAAAATATTTCTATAAGATATCACGCAACTAAGGTTTTTTGTAGATACAGATGGCAATTTTTGTAATCCAAAGGAAGAATTGAAAATATGCGCTCTCGTTATGCCACTTCTTTAGATTAACCACCAAAAACTTGACAGAATAACCACTCCATTCTGTTTGTTTGTATATGATGCTTCCCTTGAAAGTCCACCAAACAATGAATATTCACAATGTTAGGACTTCCTCGTTCCAAAATCAAAACTTTGTAAATCATTAGTCATTCAAGTAATCATTGTCCCTACTCCCAAGTCAGACGAGATGCAAACAGATGGCATACAAAACCTAACTCAATTTAATAATTCTCCATTGAGCTAAGACAATTCAGTAGATGAGGGTTCCAATATTCTGTGGTCAATTGAAACAAAAAGTATGAATCTTTTCAATAATATCACACTTCATATCAAAACAATGGCTGACCCATTAAGCCAAATTACATCTTTTCAATAAAAAATGACAAAACTAAGTAAACTAAAGAAGCTAGAGAGGCAAAACCGCGTATCTCACAAAAATAAGCAGCAAAATACTTAGTAGACCCAGTCAAAATGATAGCTTTGTTGAATCATCATCCAATACATAGCAAACCACTCAGAACTATATGGCGCATTCAAGTCAACAAATCAAGTTACAAACTCTACACAACCAATTAAATTAAATAAATGACAACTGAAAATTATACATACCTTGGAAGGGTCACTCATGTTGATTAAAGTAGTTCTGGAGAATTTAGGATAATAACGTTTGGGGCATGAAAAAAAGAAGGGGTATTGGATTTTTATCGGAAAGAGTTATGGCTTGTTGAGGAAAGTTATGTTCAGAGTTGAGAGAGGAGATTATAGAAGACATGTGAGACGAACAGAGCATTTAAGAGTTTGCTCGCAAAGAAGCATCTACCATACAACGCTACTTGTAATTTCGTCTGGAGGGAGATTGTGAGATTGTAGTTGCCTTCTCTATTGATTCTTGCTTTTTATATGTAGTTTAGGTTTAGGTTTTTCACGACGACTGGGTTGAACCTGAAATTTTATCTTATCATTTATATTTATTTTGTTTTATTTATATGTTAACCATACTTGTGTTGCATTATGTATGGGTAGAGCTGTAAAGGAACCGAACGTTCACGAACAAAAGTTCGTTCGAGCTCGTTCGTGTTCGACAAAAACTCGTTCGTTTGTTAATCCGACCGAGTTCGAACAGAAAATTAGACTCGTTTAATAATCGAACGAACACGAGCTTGTTCGTAAACATTCGATTATGTTCGTGAACATTAATTTAATATAATTTTACTCTTTTTTATATATTTACATAATATTTTTAATAAAAAATTTAAATATAAAAATATTTTTATTTTATTCTTTTATTTTCGAGTTCGGACAAATAAATTTCAAGTTAATCAAACATGTTTAAAAAGTTTACGTATTATATTATTCTAACACGAACGAACTCGAACTTTGACGAAAAATTAAACTTACGCTCGAACACGATTTTTTGCTCGAAAAATATACGAACGAACACGAATACTGTTCGAATGTAACCGAACACGAGCTCGAACAGCCCAAGTTTGATTCCGTTCGATTTGTTTACAACACTATCCTCAGGCCTCACCTAGAATTTTATATTTTTATTACATGATTTTTTTAGAAAATAAGTATAAATTGAATAATTTTTACAAAAATAATTTATAAATAAAGTCGATAAAGTTGTGAAATCAATTGCAATTTTGCCCATAATTCAAATCTAATAGAAGATTGGAGACATGACAACAGTGTCCGCCACATAATGATGGTGCTATGCAATTCACTCTCTACTTTCGCTATTCCTCGCCTTATCCCCACCGCCGACAAGCAGCCAACAACGCAGACGCCGGTAAAGGGCCGCACAATCGGGCCAATTTTGCAAGTTAGCCGCCGGAAAGCGAGCCCGAGAGGAATTTCGGTGGTGACTCGTGCGGGTCCCAGCGCCAGCAGCTACATATTTGCCTTCGTCTTCCCGCTTTCTCTTCTCGCGGTCACCATTATCACCTCTGCGAGAATTGCCGATAAGCTCGACCAGAAGTTCTTTGAAGAGGTAAAAATTACACTGCACAAACCAATTGTTGCTCCCTATTATATTTGGAAAATACCTTTTTTTTTTCTTTCAAATTCCTATCGTGCTAACCTAATATTGGCGATTGGCACCTATGAAGGGTCAATGCCTGTTCCGAATTTATATATATGTTTTAAACACTATGTGCTGCTTGTTTTGATGGGTAATACCTCGTGCCCGGTTGATTTAAGCAATTCGTTTGGCCAACTGTGATCTTGCAGTGAGGGTTCATATTAGAAGGAACTTGGATATGACTGCATAAAATTTGGTGTCTTGGTAATCTATAACTTTCATGTTTATGGTAAGTAATAGATGACTAGAACTAACCAAATGCTCAATGCCCTTTGGGTTCCCCAGGATTTATGATCCTTAGAATGATATACAATCCTTTCCAAATATAAGTTAATTTTCAGTGTATTTGTGTGGCAACTGTAACCAAATGGTTGTCTTGATGAATTCCAAACAAGTAACTTGGTATTTGATGGAGAAAGGATATGTACCTTTCCCTTGATAGCTCAGAGGGTGTAGTGCAAGGGCAAAAAGAAGTTAAGTACGCAAAGTGCCGAAAAACGTACTTTAGAAAGGTGTTTGGTATAATTTACTATGACAAATGTTTTACCCCATTTCATGATGAGTGCGGCAAAAGATGCTTTCAATCATGTAGGAACAAGAACGAGTAAAAATCGAAAACTTGAATAGCAAGTCCACTTGAATGTTCTTTGTCATGTGAAGGATTCATATTAATTTCATTTATTTTATGATTATTGGTGTTTTGGCAGCTTGCCATAAATCAAGCAATTCTGGAAGGAGAAGAGGAAAACGAGGATGAAATCTCGGTTCCTTTGGAAAAAGAAGCCAAGCAGACTCGCAGCCGCAATCGACCCAAGCGAGAAGTCGAACGATCATCATCTACCTAACATTTGTTTAGGTTTTGGAGACTGAACAAACATTTTAGTCTCATATACTCATGGTTTTGTTATTGTAAGCCTCATGCTTGCAGCAAATCCTAGTGCGCTTGTGTGTGCCAATGTATAAAGGAAAAACAAGAAAGGTTGAAATTTTTGATTCTGTGGAACCTGTTGTACTTGCTTATAGGCATGGAAAAATCAGTATCCACTTGGCTTTTATTATATAAACAGTGACAACTGAAAAAGATGGTGCTTATATTAACTAGAGTTATTGATTATATCATTACTGTACTTGTAATAAGCCTTGATTTCTATTGTTATTGACATCATTATATATTACCTTTGTTTATTGCGCCAATGTATTACACCATTTAGCAAAACAAACTAATGCATTCATAAATTTTCATGTGAGACAGCTTAATCTTACCTAACAATTAGGCGGATCGATCCGTCATAACCATTGGTGGGTTAACCCGTCGTACTATTTGAACAAAAAATATATTTTTATTATCAAATGTCGTACTTCTATTCAAGTTATTTTCTTAAAGTATGACACTTTCTAATGAGAGTGCACATTAGTAAAAAAATGTCTATCTATTATTTTTTTAATGTATGACGCTTTCTAATGAGAGTGCACATTACTAAAAAAATGTCTATCTAACACAAGACCAACCGGTATTCCATTCTGCTACAACACTTAATAAATTCAGGAATATATTATGGAATGTTTGCAAACTCAAAAATTTTCGGGTACAGGCTGATAATGACTTTTTTTTTTTTTGTTCTTTTTTTTGGAGTTTGCAGACTCAGCTGCACACTTCTTTCTGGTCATGCATACATGGTCTCAAATCACTCTAGCAGCTTCCAGATTTAACCTATAACGGTACATCCATATATGGATGCAGTGGAACCATAATTAATAGTTTCATGCACCATAGATAACTATATAAAATATGCGTGCATAAAGCATCTTACTTCAAAGGAAGCTGTAATTTTCAATGAACTGCCTTCAACAACATTAAACATTCCCAGACGGAAGGGACTTACAAGCATGCTTTTCACAGTAAGCTTTATTTTACTCGGGCAATCCTCTTAGATATGAACAAGCATTCCATGCTTCGAGTGTGCCGTGCTTTGTTTGTCATTCGTCGGGCCTGAGAAGGGTGACTTCATTAGGATTGCAGCATTCATTATTGGAAGTAGAACTTTAAATTAGCCAACAAACGAGGAATAATCACCTTNAAAAAAAAAAAAAAAAAAGAATACTTTGTAAGAAACTTGGTCATTAAAAAAAGTGCATTTTCACCGTTCTTATTTCATTCACATTAAATAGCAATTCAAAGCTCAATGACATACCAGTTGTTGGGAAAGCTGACGAGGTCAAAACCAAACTGAAGGTAACAGAAAATGATCTTTTCATCAAGATAAGCAAGCTCTTCACCATACAATGAAGCTTATATGCTGACAGTTGAATACTACATATGTACTGAAGTATGATTTAGCATTTTAGCTGAATACCATCGTCAAGTAACATCATCCACTGAAACACCTTCCGGCTCAAAGCTTTCACCTCCTGATTTGTCTTAGCTCACTTGCAATATTTTTATCCGGAAATTTGATCAAATTATAATCACATATTCAACTGGGCAAGAGCATACAGCCCTTGGCCTTCAATCTTGATTCCAGCCCAAAGAATTTAATTCCAGAAAACAGCAAATCAGCAGTTGTCTTCTTCATATGGTCTATAAGCATCTCATCATAGACTATCACATCAGCTTCTGTAAGAAATTTAGACTCTCTCATAAGTGAAAAGACTTTCCTTGCCTCTTCAATTGTCCCATGTTTGCACATACCGTAAATAATAGCAGAACAAGTGACATTGCTTGGAGGACATCCTTGATCTACCATTTCATTCATGACATCAGCTACCTTACAGACATCATTTGACTTGCAGACATGAATAATCGTGAGGGTATACTTGAACTCCATGGGACCACTTTCCACATTGGCTAAGCACTCACGTATGAGCATCATGGCAGCATCAACCTCTCCTATTTCACAAAGGCCTTTAACAAGAGAGCAATAAGCAACAACTGAAGGAACCGAAGATGTTTCTATAATCTTGTTGTAACAATTGCATGCTTCTTGAATTTTTCCGGCTGTAACGTAACATAAGATCGCATTACAGTAAGTCGATGAGTCAGGCACCAAATCAGAACCACTGAGTTCGCTGAAAAGAGATAATGCTGCCTTCTCTTCACCATTATTGAATAGGGCCTCCATGAGTACATTGTAAATTGATACAGTAACATAGTTTTGTCGTTTCAAGCACTCAAACACTTCCACAGCCAATTCTACTCCATTATTCTGCTGTACCAACGCGGAAAAGAATTTGGTGAGATCATCAGCAACAGAAAACCCTAATTTATGCATTTGCTCAAGCAATTTGCAGAACTCATTCATCCTTTTCAGCTCTGCATAACAAACCAATATGGGGTGGACAGTATCAAACTCTGGCGTGAGATCCTCATGGATTGTCGCTTGGAAGAGCTTATAAGCCCTTTCCACGAGTTTTGCAGTACACAAGCCTTTGATAAGGGAGTTATATATTGACAAATCAGCTCTATATCCCGAGTCCATCAAATCTTTGAGCAAACCACAAGCTGAGCCCACCCTTCCATCCACGACATATGCTTCAATCAACGATCCATAAATAGCCCTGTCGATCAAATAGTGTTTCCTTTTCATTTCCTTAAAAAATTCATAACCCTTGTCAACACGGTGGCCTTTACAAAGCGCCATAACAAGAGTTGAATAAGCCATGACATCTGGCTCAACACAATCCTTCCGCATTTCGTCCCAAACCTTTAAACATCCATCTAAATTTCCCTCCGAAACCAACACTTTTATCATGGCTGTGTAAGCAAACACGTCCGGCTTGCACAGATTCTCCCTCATCCGATCCAAAAGGACAAACACTCGATCCATCCGTCCTGCTTTACATAATCCCTTAATCAAAATCATATAGGTGACGTTTTCTTCAACCAAACCATCTTCCCTGAAGTCATCATACACCGACATTGCCAAATCTAAGTGATTAGTCTTAACCAAGCCATCCATAATCCTATTGTATAGGAAGACTCTTGGCTTCACGCCAAACTTCTTCATTTTCTCATACACATAGTGTATCCTGAGCCCCCTCTTTGCATCAGCATGCATCCGAATCAAGATTTCGAATTGTTTCTCGCTAGGCAGCTTTCCTTGCATATGCATCAACTCAGGCAACTGGTCAGCAGCCCGGAATTGATTTGCTCGGTTCAAAAAGTAAGCAAAGGCATTGTAACAGGCAAAATCATGCCTATACCCTTTCTGCTTGCTGTCAGCGATGAAACATCCACAAGAACCGGAGAAACAAAAGAATGATTTCTGAATAAATAACACTATGTAACAAAAAATACATTTGGTGGAATCACATTGAAAACAATGAGAAGAATAACCACACGCAGAAAACTGTAATAAATGAATAATATTTAGGTTCTTGCATACCAGCCCAATGGAAAAACTTAGAGGAGAGCCTGGGATCAACATTGGGAAACTTCAAGACTTCCGTCACCAGCTTTGGGGTGACGCGTCTCAGCCGATTAAGCTCCTCCACAAGCTGCGGGCTCCAGTGCTTATGTTTTCTGAAAGCGTCCACTATGTACCTCGCAATAGGGGACAAATTCGTCGCCAGCGAGAAGAATTTCTCGGACGGGTCTTTCGCATACGATCGTCTTTGATTCAATTCATCGTCCGGGTCCCACTTCTGGAGGTCGAAGGGCTCCTGCACGGCGGCGGTGGGGCGGCTGAACTTCTTAGGGCTTATTATTTGGCGGTTGGAGAACGGGCCGCCGCGAACTGTGGGTTGGTTTTGGGTGGGCTTTCGGTGGCCGTAGTAGAAGTAAGGTTTGTTCGGTTTGGTCAGCGCCGCCTGCGGTGCTGGCGGCGGCATTGTGAGAAATGACTGAAACCTTCCCGTCCTAGACAAGATTTGCAATTTTGTCGAGGGTGAAGGCCAAGCTTGAAACCCAAAAAGGTACTATTTTGTTTTGTATATTTTAAAATGGCCATTTCACTCATTTTTTAATAAGTATCGTTTTAAGAAATTACATATTAAAAATATCGTTTTGAGAAGTTGCACATTAATTAAATATTTTTTTGCTAATAATAATCTTGATTAATAAGAATATAAATGTATATTATAAGAAAAGATGAAAAATAAATATAAAAAAATGTCATGTATTTATTAGCTAGATGAGAGTAATAATAGAAAAATATGTACAAACGATTCAAAACGTCATTTATTTAGTTAATTGTTGATAAAACTAAAATGACATTTAAAAAAAAAAAGACATTAATAACACTAGTTATCACAATCATTGAGTCAAATCTTAACCATATATTTATTTACATGTCAATTATTCATATCATGCTATGTAATGTTGTCATAAAATATTGTACAAAATAATTGTACAAGTAGTTTCTTTTTTCATTTTCAATTTGACTCGGATCAAATTTTGTCTCTCCTTTGGTTTATAGTTTGCGAAACTAATCTATAGTAATATAAAGAGATTGTTGGAAAAATACTTTTATAGTAAGTTTGACTAAAAAAATAAATGGCTTGACTTACTATTAGTGGAAATTTCGGAAAAAACACATGTACCAAAAAAATTGAGATTTTTATGGTAACAAATTTGAAGATTTTTATGGCAACAAATTTAATTGAGATATCCCAAAAAAATTGGAGATTTTTATGGTCACAAATTTGTAGATTCCTATACCAAAATTTAATTCATTTTAAATATTAATCCCATAGGAATATACTTTTATTGGTAACAAATTTGAAGATTCTTATGCCAAAAAATTGAGATTTTGAATTGAGACATTCCAACAATCACGGATTTTTTTCCCATTCAAATTAATGTTGTAAATCAAACAAAAAATTATTCCAAAAATAATGGATGTTATACCAAATATTGATAAATTCCAATCCCATAGGAGATTTCTATAGGATTCTTATGGTAACAAATTGGAGATTTTTATGCCAAAAATTGAGATTTTGAATTGAGATATCCTAACAATTTTGGATTTTTTCCCCTTCAAAATCATGTTGTAAATCAAACAAAAAATTATTCCGAGAATAATGGATGCTATACTAAATATTGATAAACTCCAATCCATAGGAAATTTCTATGGGATTCTTATGGTAACAAATTGAAGATTCTTATGGTAACAAATTTGGAGATTCTTATACCAAAGATTTAGTTCATTTTAAATATTAATCTCATAGGAATCTATTTTTATTGGGAACAAATTTTGAAAATTCTTATGCCAAAAAACTTAGATTTTGAATTGAGATATCTCAGAAATTACGGATTTTTTCTCGATTCAAATTAATGTTGTAAATCAAACAAAAAATTATTCCGAGATAATGGATGCTATACTAAATTAGTATCACTGGGCCCACACGTTAATATGATATTAATTAGATAGATAAATTACGTAAATCTTTCCTAACAAAATGCGTTCCTATATTGTTAACCAATTTAATGGGATTTTGTTAACTAATTTGATAGGATCTTGGTAACCACGGGATTTTGTTAGCTTTTCATGGAAACACGTATCTTCATTATTGATAAGATTTTGTTTCCAATTTTTTTTTTTTTCCTCTCTCGAAAATTTGATAAGGTTTGATAAGATTTTGTTTCCTATTTTTTCTCTCTCTCGAAAATTTGAGTTGTGGATTTGAAAAAAATAAATAACTAAATAAAATAAACATATCATATTGATAAAGTTTTAGTGTGGGCATAAAAATCAATTTTGATTTGATTGAACTTTGTTTCATATAAACCTAAGAGAATCAGACGTTTGAAAAAATAAAATATTAATAGTAAATAATTATACCATATTTGTATGGTTAGATTTGAAATATTGAGGCATAAAAATCAATTATGATTTGATCACATTTTGTTTTATAGAAGTTATCTTAGAAAATTTTACACGTTTCAAACAATTAAAGATTATAATTTCGTAAATTAAAGTTTTGGATTTGTCCAAATAAATAGGAAAATATCAAAATAAAAATAATATTTTTCAATCTATCCAAAAAGTCTTACCAAATTTTATCGTAACAAACTCCATTATTTTGGCTACATAATCTTCTAAATATTCGTTCGTCCCTCACAAGTGAATCACGTTCCATATTTTTTTTTATTTTTTTAACAAAACTGATAACACATATTTTTAGAAGTCAATCATAATCATAATAAAAAAAATCAGATCGGATCATATTAAATACCTTACTTTTTTATTTTCCAGACATATGGCACATACACATGACTATATAAACATCACCAACATTGAACAAAAAGTATTCGACATCAATACATCCCACAAAACAATTTTTTCTACAATATTTTACATCACCATTGAAAATGGTTTCGGATTTTGGAGTAATGAAGGATATCAAAAGATCCAATAAGCCACCAATCAAGCTACGAATAATTAGTATGTTCCAACAAGTTGAAGACGTACGCAATTACCGAAATGTTCTTGAGATTATCTTTCACGATTTTAAGGTAATATATTCTTTTATTATTATTTAAATGCATCATTTTATGCAACATCTTTTATAATTTATTTATTGAATTATTCACTATGCAATATTTTGGGGAGGACGAATTCTTGGCATAATTCGACATGTCAATATCCAAAAAATTATCGGTGATATTGAAGAAGGTGGCGCTTATATCTTGACAAACTATCAAAGGGAAGCAATATTGGCATCCATAAATCGACAATTGGAAAAAAGAGGATCATTATCAATGGTCAAACCATTATCAAATGGAGGGGTGATTTTCCTATGTATTGTTTTGACTTTAGGAACTTTCTAACTTTAATGGATGTTCGTAACATTGATGAAGCCAGGTTCTTTGGTACGTTATAATTTTTTTGTTTATTTCTTATTTCAATTTTTTTAATTTAAAATTTGTATTAAACTATTTTATATGTTATACGTTTCAATATGATGCATTTTCTTATATTTTTGTAGATGTTATTGGATTGATTGTTTACAATTATGTTTTCTTACTACATGACTATAAATAAGAGTCAGGAACAATCATTATCGTATGTGGGCTTATTTTCTTAAGAAAACCAGTGTTTGGTCATGGCCAATTGTATGTTGCTGTCTCCCGTGTCACAAACAAAAATGAGTTTGAAAATCCTAATTTGTGGCGACGATGACGTGCCAAAGAATCAAACCATGAACGTTGTATATAAGGAAGTGTTCAATAATATATGGATTTTATTATCATTGTATTTATTAATTTATTTATTATTAATGGCATGACCTTTCCTTTAGTAAGTACTTTGAATTTTTATTGAACGTTGCTTTATAAAAGGGATGGAGATAATAATCCCCCGTGCATCGCACGAGGACTGTACTAGTTTGTAGAAAAAAAGAGTTACTCATTTTTTAATATTTTTGAAATCTCGCACAAATAAGCTAAAAAACTAGTTTATTTTCAGTATTCAAAAATATTCTTCCTATATCGGAAGAAAACCTTGTGGCGACGCTGTAAAACCCAATTGTAGAGAATTTATTAAAAGCTTATCACCGGGTCCCTCTTGACTCGATTTTCCCCATGCGAAAAGCCTAATTTCGAATTTATCGTTGAAAATGACAAAAATATACGGCACCGGAGTTTTCGATTTCAGGCGGCATCGGGTGGCTGAGTACCCGGTGGCTGCGGACGCGCTGCCTCCGCCAGAAAAGCCTGTGGAGTTCAAACCGGGATCCATTGTACCCAACTCCATTACTCTAAGCGAGATCCAAAGAGACCGTTTAACGAAAATTGCGGCCGAAAATTAGGCCATAACGGCGGGCTCGGGCCCTAAGAAGTCCTTCAGCCTGGACCTCGTTGGTGAAATTTACTACACTGAGCCTCGTTGGTGAAATTTACTACACTGAGTTAACTGTTAAAGGTGACTGCCACATCCTCTGTTGTAGGAGGAGCGATGCTGTTCATACTGTTGTTTGTATTTGAATTCTATTTTTTTTATTACACCTATCTTCGTGTTTTGTTTTACTTATGGAACTACTTTTACATTCACTGACCAAAAAGNAAAAGAACAAAAAAAAAAAAAACTGAAAATTTGAATCCTTTTGATTCATCCTATTGATTTAACTCATACAAAATAAGTATCTAGGTAGATTCCATATGAATTTTGATGTCCATAACCAAGGGATTAAGTGAGTGAGTATATATCTGAACTGGTTGTTCGCTGTTCAAGAAGAATTCTTGTTTGGGCTTGATCATACTCAATTATCTAGTTCGACAAAAGGGCTATTTGTATACAATATGTAGTGGGAAGCATGTGCTTTCTGAACTGAAAATTGTGCTTGTGTTGTGCGTTTTGTTGTATGTTTACCTTGCTTAGAACGGCTTATATGTTGCCTCTTGCAGTAAATAGTGTGAGAGGATTGACTGTCGGCGTTATTTTGCTACTCTGAAGATTGTCAAGTGAATGTGAATTCTTTGTATGTAGAAACTGGACTGGGAACTCTGAGAAGGAATGGTGTATTAACACGACTTTTTTATTCTGTCGAGAGTTTGGATATTCGGGACAGTTTATAACTATGTCTTTCTTTTGGTTTAATTTGTTTATTAAGAAAGTTTGACTTTCATATCTTCTGAAGTTGAATGAAAAATGATGTAGTATATTACTAGTATCTAAGTGAGTGTGAAACATCAGATTATGCTCTTATACTTTCAAAATAATTTTGTGTAGCTGATATTTGAAAACTGCTGTATATCATGTAATAAACAGATTAGCGCACTTTTATTGATTTTGTTCATCCGGATCAGCTCAATTGCATTAACTCAGGTTTATTTGCGAACTTATAGTTCGATTGTTATGTATAACTTATAGTTGTTGATGACTGTAGGTGGAAGAAAGACAATGCCACTGCAGAGGGTGATGATACTGGAAGTGAGTCTAGAAGTGAGTCAATACTTGGAGAACTACCTTTGGCCAAATTTTGCTCCAGAAGCGCTTCTTTTGAGCATGTGATGTCCATGATATTAATGGTCAATGAGAAGGTACAATGACATGTCATATATATTATCTTATATATTTAATTGTGCCGCCTTTTGATCATCAAAAACATGCATATGGAATCGAAGTTCTACTGCATTGTTAATTTATTCTATTGTAGCAAAAGCTTTCCAAGTAAGGTCTCTGGTAGCAGTAATTAACATATCGCACTGTTTTGCCACATTTAAACTTCGCCTATTTGTTTAAGAATTTGAGTGTTTATAAATATATATCATGGGATATAGTGAATTGGAGTGGGGGTGGTTTGCTATATACATCATGGAATGCTAGGCTCGTTCGAACGGACAGCTTATCTTCCCAACTTTAGAAGCGAAGCGAAGTGCTATCAATTGTTATTGAACATCAGAAAATTATGGAAACGTCCCATAATGGTGGTTTACCAAGCCATCCACTATAAGTTACCATTGTTGCATAAGCAAGTCATCCATGAATTAGGGAGGTACTGATCTTGACTGGCCTTGTTTGCTGAAAAAGTTTACTTGTGAGTAGTGACACATCTATAAATTTTGAGAATTGAAATTTGAAAGCTGGTCATTTTTCAGCGTTGCTTAAGATTCATGGATCCCCTCACAAAATACTGTGAGGGTTCATGCCCTGAGCTACTATTATTATTATTATTATTATTATTATTATTATTATTATTATTATTTTGGTTTGGATGATGGGATAAGTGTGTGCAGTGGTTGTGTCCATCTATTCTCTGTGGAAGTGGGGAGGGTCCGAAGGGAGTTTGGACCTTTAACTCTATGTTAGTATGAGGGAATATCTGATGGTTGAGTAACTCTCTGCAATATTATGAACGAGCAGGGCACTCCAGGTTGTGTTTGGTAGCCAGGCTATAAAGGAAAATGTAACACCTTGTCCGCGATGATTCATTTTTTTTGCTAGCTTTATCCTTGTTTGGTCTACATTTCAACAGGATCTTATTAGTTTCTGAATTTGGTCTTTTGAGTTATAATTTACAATATTGTACTGGTGAAGATTGATAATGAAAGAAGAACCTGTTTTCGGAAGATTTTATTCAGGTGGGAATGAATAAAGAAAGCTGTATTAGAATGCATGTCTAGCTTAACTTTTTATCTATTTTGCTTTTCCATGAAGAGTTACTAACTAAATTATTCGGGTCATGCAGTTTCGAGAATTGTCCATTGCAAATGGAGCTGGAAGAGTCATTGTTGACAATTCTCCTGGCATAGTGCTAATAATGGACTAGATCAAAATGACTCAATTAAATTCTAGTGCTTCTTCTATTAGTGAAGTTTCTAGAAAAAAAAAATATCAAACGGCGCAATGCACCTTAGGTCGCTACGGAAACAGCCTCCTTGTATAATTACAAGGGTAAGGTCTTCATACAACTGACCCCCCAGACCCCAACCTGTTGGGAATATACTGGGTATGTTGTTGTTGTTGTTGTTGCAGTTTCGAGAAAATGTGGCTGCTTGGATACGCTTTTATAATAGAAAGGATATGTTTGAAGCATTCCTTGAGAGAGTACTTCGCCTAAAAGAGGTATATTCTCAGTCAAACATCTTTTGAAAATTTTTCCCTAAATTTCAACGTATGCCAGTTGCCAATTTGCATTATGTTTATTGTTAAGTAGGGTTCGTATGCCCCTTCTCTCTCTCTCTCTCTCTCTCTCTCTCTCTCTCTATTTCACTTTGTGTGTGTGTGTGTGTGTCTCTGGTTAGGAATTATCAAGACGAATATGTGAAATTGAGTTTAGTTTAATTGGTCTCTTTGTGTGTGTGGTTTGATTTACTATAATGTAGTCAATCATACAGATGTGGGGTTGAATACGCGTTGTTGTATTTTTGTGTCATTTGAAAAATTTAATTTGATTTTCGAAATAACAAACAACTTGTGGTCAGGAACTGATATGCTACTAAATAGGGT